GGATTTGTAATTCCTCCAAAAGACTTAGAAAAAGTGATTTACAAAAGTAAATATCATGAGATCTTTTTGAATGCTTTATATACCCTTAAAGTCAGGGCAGAATAAAGCAGACTGAGCTCTGGCAAAGGATTTCTTTGTGAGACAGCATTATCTAGTAGCCTGAATTTGGGTCTATGAATTGGGATTTCCTTTCCAGCTGTATCAGGGATTCTTTATCTGGCTTTGGATTAGATAAGCATTAGAGATCCTAATTAATGGTTATACAACTATGAAGTTTAAATGGATAAAGTTTTTTGGCTGGAGGAAAGCACAAACTTTTATTACAGGCACTGGCCACAGTAGATAATGTTTCAGCAGTCCAACATCAAGGCAAATCAGTGCAAATTATTTATCAATATATATACACTGTGTATATGCAATATGGTATAATGCATATAGCGCCAGGTTATACATTTTGTACTGACAAAGATTTCTATTTTTCTGCAAAGTATAACAAATTTTCTCTTCCTGGAGTAGAATGAAAAGTCATCTTGTTAGTTTTCTCTCCTGAACTGTAAATATAGCTTCCAACAAATCTCATTGACTTTATATCAATGTCTGAGTTTTGCTTTCTGTTCATTGCCAATTCCAGTTGTTTGCAGTTCTTCACACAATGCTATTTACAGGTACCCCAGTTACCATTCTGTGCATTCCTGTGCCTGCTCTCTTCCCCTCCTCCCTATAAGGAGGGAACAGATTTTGAGTAACCCGATCAACCCCGGGAAGAGAATTGTTATCTGGGCCCTCATCAAATCAAGCATTTTGTTGGGGACAGATGAAGCCCAAAGGAGCCCTGCAAGGCTGCTGTGCTGCCCTGCTCCCTCCTCAAGCCCCCAGGCAGACAGAGCCCTGCAGCTCATCTCCTGTCTGGCAGAGGGGGCTGCAGTTAGAGGGAGGGGGAGAAGAGGAATAAAGAATGAGAAACTGCAAATGATTATGTGAAAAGACCATCCCTGAGAAGCTGCACATACATTTTGTTTTCACTTCTATGCCAAAGAGCAGTGCTTCTGCAGGGTCACTTGTTTTCCTTTCTCCACATAAGCACAATGCACTGCTGCTCTTCTACAGCTGGAAACACTGTGAGAGGCATAACTTATCCCTGAGCTTTTCATATCAAACTTTCTGTAGTTTGAGCTTGGAGTTGCCAGTCTTAGAGCAAATCGTGTTTCCTTTTTCAGACCTGAGTGAGAAGGGCCCTCTCACAGTGTGACAACAGGCTGGCTCTGGCACGGGCAGCCACAAGTGCAGCACTTCTTGAAAACCACGCAGACATGATGGGCTCTGTGTACTTCGGAGAAGCTTCTGTCCTTCTGCTGAGTTGGGTAAGGATGGTGTATGTATCTCTGGTCCATTGTGAATGCCCATTCAAATGGTTTATTTACCATTTTACAATCATAAATTTAAGTGTATATAGTCATGTGAATAATATCTTGTTTTAGCAGAGCATTTAAATTTGACATTGAGTAGGATCTTGCATGCTCTCTGAAATGACAGGCAGGCTCCCAGACCAGGTTTGCAGTAAATAGAAGCACCACTTTCTTTGCTGATATAACATAGAAGTATCATTTCGTAATCACAGAAAACCCTTAGAAGAGTTTATGGTATTAGTTCAATATTCATGATCCAATATAGATTAAACCAGCCAAAAATTGATCCTTCCAATGCAGCAAAAAAGGTCTCAATCCTCTCCCCACAAACCAAACCAAACCAAACACAAAAACAAACAAATAAATAAAACTAAAGCAGCAACCTTCAGGAAATTAGCATTGAAGTTATAATTTGAATACACTTTGCAGAGAGGAAAAATAAAATAAGGCTTAATCAAAATGTAATATGCAGGAAGATGGCATCTGCCTTGAGAAACTTAACACTGAAGCTTTAAACAAGAGGCGACACACACGGAGGCAGATAGGAATCAGAGCTGCCTATCATCCCCAAGAGTATTGGCTCATTGTCTACCCACAGTTACAATTTTCCCCAGGTAACAGGGCAACTTTAAAAAAAGAAAGGAATTTACTATGCCAAAAAATCTTTCCCATTCTCTTAGTAAAATTCTGAGCCAGCATTACACATGACATTGTTAATTCATTAAATATCATTGTGATTAATTACATTCAATAGATACGAGGTGCATTCAGGTTCAGTGCAACTTCATTGACCCCAGAGCTGGTACAGCTGTTTAAATCAGGGCAGAAGTGGTCATGTACTACTTCCCACTTGGACTTAAACCAGACATAATAAAGATATGAGTTGCATGAAACATGGTTTTAAGCTTCTATCTCCTAGTGATCATCCCACATGTAATTATTTTCTACATTCTAAAACAGAAGCATATTTAAATGTGATTTTTTTTTTCCTGGTAGCTTCTACCTGTGAGTATCCTTTGGAATACTCAAATGGGCCTTTTAATTTATCATAAGGATTTATGAAGATTATAGAAATAAATTCTATAGACATGAACAGAACAGAATGGAGCATTCCCCATTGGTTTTTCAACAATTTTCTTTTAAGATGTACCTTAATAAAGTATTACAGTCCATTTTCAGAATGATATCAAACATTTTAATAGCCACATTTGTGCCTTTTGAAGCTAGTCTAACTTCCAGATTTTTTCCACTGCCCAAACAGAAATGGGGCAGATCCTAGATTAGCAATCCTAGACCTGGTGGTATGTCAATCTTTTATCGCTGTGAGAGGCTTTTTCTTTAAATTGTGATTAAAAGACCCTCTTTCCTTAGTCCTGAACATTTTGGAATGTATCTTCTATATCCACATGATCGTGCTACAGCAAGGTATAGTAAGTGCACGTTGTCGTATATCTTTACATCCCTACTTGGTTTCATCCCTATCAAGTTCTACAAGAGCAGGAGGGAAGACAAGAGGGAAGGTTTGCACTTTGACCCGTTGTTCATATTTTGATTCTTTTATGTGTACCAAATGTCAGTCATTCTGTCGTCTATTTAATCTCGGACACCTATGGAAGATTAAGAGAGGGCAGAGCAGGAGAGGGAAGGATAGATGAGCTACAGCAGGCAGATAATGTAAAAGCCGACTCAAAGTTCTCAAAAAACTCCAGCCGTCGCCAGCCATCGCCAGCCGTCATCCTTCAGACAAAAAGGAGGAGTTTCCATTCAGGCTTAAAAATCTCCATCTTCTAAAAGATTGACATGTGAGAATGCTAGAAGGGAAAACTGTCCTTCTTTACATAACTTTGAATTAATCCTTTAATTCTTCCTTCTTTTGATTTTAAATATGTTCTTGGCCAGCAGTCTGGATGTACACATGTTTATAACTGTGCAGCAAGAATTTAGAACATATGTAGTGTTCATGTTTTGCCAGCTTGTCGTTTTGATCCATCCAAAATCCCATTATTCTAACCTGTCTCCCAAGCTGCTGGGTCATCTTTCCCAAGTAAAGTAACCTGGGAATAAAAGTAAACTTTGTTTTTGGAGATCAAAGATCTTTTTTGATCCATCTTTTGGTAACCAAAGCCTCCTCTCCCTTGCATGGTGCTCATCAGTAGTAGGTGCAGTGAAACTCCTCTCAGCACAAAATTGTCCACTTGGATGGGGTAAGGTTGTGCTGCTGTGCCAGCACCGGCTGCATGTGTACCATGGGGAGAGGAGGGAATTTCTTTGGATAAAACAGTGAGTGCATATTAATGTGAGACTTTGACCCGAAAAAAAGTTGCAGTATTGGTGGTTGGCAAAATAACCTGCCTCACAGTCCTTTCCAGGCTATCTGAATGGAATAAATGGGATTTGGGAGTGCATGGTGAGCCAGTTGTCACCCTCAGATACCAGATAATGACATCCAGAAAAAAGGGAAAAAAAAGAAAAAGAAAAAAGAAAAGAGAAGGAAAAAAAAATTTAAAAAAAGAGAAAAAGCTATGTGTGCAAAATTTCAGAGAGAAGGCACCCAAATTGGTAGCTGGTTTTTAGGATTAAAATTGTAGTATGAAGCAGTCCGGGCAGGTTGCTTTGCACAGGCTAGAAAAGGAAGGTTTCTGAGTGGTTTGTGCTCATTTTCCACTTGCCCGGACCTGGGCTGCGTGTCGGGCAAATCCGCTGGCAAATGTTAACACTGCCCAAGGGACTGAAAGTGAAGCTGGGGGCTGATGTGGCATGCGGTTGCCATGGTACTGGCCATAATCCTGCCGGAGTCAGATACCCTGATGATACGGCGAGTTTGAGCTTGCTCTGGAGTACAGCGCAGTGACCCTTCCCAGCAGCATCTGGTTGTGTTTTAAACTTTTGATAAATTCCATAGCCAAAGAAATCAAAACAATTTAAATAACAAGCCGAGCCTGGCCAAAGTCCAAGTTCAGGCTGCTGCGTTTCTCATTGGTACTGCTGTTTAATGTAGATCGGAGCAAAAGCGAAGATATTCGGGGTGGGAGCGAGGCACTTTTTGGAGATTCTTTCTCCCCTCCTCGTAGCCTTAGTCCCAGAACAAGAGAATGAAACTAGATTCAACCTCCGGCGAGGTTGCTTAGAGCGTTTAGGGAAGTGTCTTTAATGAACGCGTTTCTCCCCCTGGATGTTCCCGGCGGGTAAAGCCGCCCGTGTGCGAGGATGTTCCGCGGAGCTCTGCTGCCTCCAGCCCTGCTGTGGCGGGGGCTTGAAAAAGTCGCGCAAACTCGCGGGGAAAAAGCAACCACCAAAGTTGGAGAAAACCACCCCCAGCTCCATCCCCGCCTCTGCGCGAGCGAATCTGCACAAGCCAAACTTGTGCAGTTTGGGGAGGAGGGGGGCAGCTTTCCTCGAGGAAGGGGGGGTTTGTGTGGGCTCGCTGCAGATGTGCTCCAGCCGAGCGGGGCGTGCGGGGGCTCCCGGCGCTGGGCTGGCGGAGCGGATCCCACCGCGCCCCACAGAAAGCCCCGCACCCAAAATGGTGCGGTTCGCTGAGGCGAGGGGGCGATCCGGGATGGAAGGGGCTGGGGGGAGGAGAGAGAAGATCCGGAGCGGTGCGCTGCTCCCGCGCCAAAAGGGTGGGAAGGTTTAGATTTCCCCTTTCTTTTTTCTTTCTTAAAGGGCGGGTGAAAGAGAAAACAGACCCTAGAGCCAGTTTTCCTCTTGTGTCAAGGCTTGAAAGCGCTCCAGCGTCTTCCTGCGGGCTGCTCAACTTCATCCCTCGTGTGTGTGCATGTGTGCGTATATCTATTATACACATAAAGTAGGTGTACGTGTGCGCGCCGTGTCCCACCGGCGGCCCGGGCGGATGGGCAGCGGAGCCCCTCACCTCTGCACGCCGCCCCCAGCCGCCCCCAGCCCTCCCTCTCCCCGTCCCTCCCCGCCCGCCTCCGCGGAGCTGCTCCGCGCCTGCAGCCGGGAGAGCACCGCGCCGCCGCCGGGATCCGCGGCAGCTTTTGGCGAGGAGCGGAGCGGAGCGGGGGAGAGGCACAAAAGGGAAGGACGGAGGGAAAGTCCCTCCCACGCCCCCCTCCCCCAAGTTTATGATGGGGGTCCGGAGGAGCTGCGCTGCTCCGCGGCAACCGCTCGTCTGCTGAAAACTTGCTGCTTCGCTTTTTGGGTAAAGTTGATGCTTATTGTGTCTTTTCATTATGCTTTTTATTCTCTTTTTTTCTCCCCTCCTCTTCTCCCGCTTTGGTTGGAGCTGCCCTGCGCCGGTGGGGGGTGCGTGGGAGGGAGGGTGCAGTTTGGTGAGGGTCTCTCCTCGCAGCGGGTGCCCGAGGGGGGCCCGTCCCGTGTGTCCCCCCGAGCTCGCAGGTGAGCGGGGAGGATGGGGCCGCGCTGTGTGCGGTGTGTCCCCCCTTTTCCCGGCCAGACCCCTGCGGGACCGTGCCTCCACGGCCATTGTTGTCCGGGGGCTGCGGTGACAGTCCCAGCCCCGGGCTGCTGCCGGGACCGCCTTGCCCTGGGTCCCGGAGGACGGCAGAGATCCCCAAAGCCAGAATTGAGTTTGTCTTTTTTTTTCAGAAGAAAAATGAAGTTGCCCCCTCGCCTCCTTGTCACCCCCCCCCCCCCCCTCCGGGAGGGGCAATCTTTCGACAAGTATATTTGCTGAGGAATTTAAAAAATTCCCTGCTGCAACTTGATCCCTGTGTGATGAGGAGCGGCTTGGAGAGACCCGGACTCCAATCCTATTAAGGACTTAGAGAGTTGAGAGTTTTTCCCCCGGACTCGGTGGCTTTAAAACAATCAGGGAGGAGGGGAGGGAGATGGGCTCATCTAGATGCCTTTTCTGCCTCAAGTGATTGCCATCATTTCCTGGGAAACCTGACTTTTCCAGCGCGGGGCTTAGGGTGATTTATCAGTGGTCCTGCTGCCGGCTTTTCCGAGGTTTACGGGTTTATTTATTTATTTTTTTCATTTAGCTAACCTGCAGCCAGGGCTTCAAAACTTCCCGGGCCGGGGCTGCGGCTTAGCCGCGGTGCGGTGCCCCCTCCGCGGGGCGGGACCCGGCTCGGCCCCGCTACACGGCCCGGGTGGCCAAATGTCCAGGAGCGGGGTCACCGCCGGCCGGGCCAGTGAAACTTGTGTCTTCCTATAGCTGCCCTCGCATTTCATAGTGCCCCAGGTGCTGGAAAACCTCGTGCTTACAGAAATTAGCATTTTATTGGTGTATGGTGTTTATATTTTTATGGCCACAGATAAAGGCACTGGTTGTAAAACCTTGTCTACCCCCTACCAATCCCCTTCTTTTTCTTTTTTTTTTCTTTCTTTTTTTTCTTTTTTTTCTTTTTTTTTTTTTTTAAGTGAGGCTCTTGGGATGTGCAAGAATGTGAAAGTAAGCGTTACTAGCATGTGCATAAAACAGCATTTAAACAAATATTGTATTGGCATGTGCTGTGCAGTTGGTGCCAAAAAAAGTTAAGTAAATAAGCCATGAAATTCAAAATACACACAAGTGGAATAGACTGATTTGTTATAAGACTTGCTGATTTTATCTGCTTGTTCTAGCTACCTTGCTTTAAGAAAAACTTTGGAGTGTTTTCTTGGGGCTGGTTTTGTTTTGTTTTTTAAGTTTAAACCTAATCAAATTAACTTTATTAGAAAAGAAACTAAATTCACCTGGAAAAGAGGATCTTGTTAAATAATGAAATAATTGTTTATGCTGCTGGAATGTTTGAATTGCGTGATAATTGATAATTACTGCATACAGCAACTACAGTTGATGAATTGGTTTGGTTCAGCTTTTCTTTTGGGTGGATATGGTAATTTGTATTTTGGCTGTAACATCAGAAAAAGGTGACACCTGTCAAACTTTGAATTGCAATAAAAATGTGGTATTGAATGTTATTGCAAAACTGACAACTTTTAAGAAGCAAATGAAATTCATTATGGCTTTTCCACTGTAAACAACTCCTGGAAATTTGTCATTTGATTGAAAGCATGACCTATCTGTAGCACTGAAAACTGCCTGATTGACTGAAGATGAACTTGTTAATCTATAGGTATGTGTATATCCAACCTCTGGTGTGTGTTTGTGAAAGAATTGATCTTTAAAGCAAGTTGAGGTAAGATTCACTTCATCTCGAATGTTGTTACTGCTTAAAGTATGTGACTTTGAAGTGCCCAGAAATACAACTGCTGTTCTTCAAAGGAAAACAGATCTTGAGGACTGTTTCCAACTTCCTTTCAATGTCTTTCTTTTTTTTTTCCTCCAGTGTGTCAAAGGGGATGTATACAGATGGACAAATACTATTTGTGTTAGTTCCTTCAATTAGAGAAAAATTAGAGACATAGAAGAATTTGAACTAGATGCATATGTCAATATAAATCTAGCGCAATTTCATTGTAGCTACTCCAGGTTATACTTGGATAAAAGAGAATAGAACTTGACCTCAGACATCCAACACATAGCAGCTTGCATTCCCAAATGTCACACTGAAGTCACATTTAGAAAAGACAGCCTTCTGGCTGCATATCTATAATGAGCAGTATTTTTGCCATTGTTTTGAAAACCAGTTTGAACTTTTATGTCAAAGAACAAATTTTCATTATGTTTTCTGTGATTCTAATCATCTTACAAGTTTATACCACAACTTCCCTTTCAGTGGCACAGTTGTATAGAAGCTGCACAGGCTCTGGGGCTGTGTGAGCAGCTGTATACAGAAAGGGTTATGTGTTAGCTACAGTTTTGTCTGACTTGAAACTACATTTTTTTATGATCTCGATACTTTGTTTCTGTTGAGAACGTTTGAATTTTCAGTCCTCTGGACCCATCTTTTTTTTAATTTAAGGCTAGGGTAGAGCGTATGACCTAATAGCAGCTGCAAGTACGGAAGACACTTGGTTAACTGCCTGCCCCTGTTTTTGGTGGCCTACTGTAAGGCAGTTGTTTGCCCTGTAGTCTGAAAGGTACACAGATACTTCATGCTTTTGTACTCTGAGAAGTGCTCTGTTCATAGTGAAGTTTCCAGTGCAGATTAGTGAAGGCAGTGGATTCAGTAAGCAGTCACCAAAATCTGTATGTATTTGTGGAGCAAACACCTATCTATTGCCCCATCACAAAGCCTCCACTTAATAATCTGGCCAAGGATTTCAAGGCAGTGAGTTTTTTCAAAGAAGCTACTTAGGAACATTAGATGTGACTATAGCATCAAACTAATTAGTTGCCACTCCATTTCTATGAAGCTACTAGGGCTTTATAGAAATGCAATATTTGCACTTCTCACTTGCTGCTAAGGCACTGAGGTTAAGCGGTCTCTGCTTTTTGTCCTCTTTCTTGCTGATGGGAAAGATTCCAGGGCATTGTTCAAGAGCTGCACAACCCCCTTATGTACCTGGGTAAATATTTTAAACAGTTGCACATTTGGACAACTTGCCACAAAGCATTAAGTGGTATTTAGGGTTTGCTTCAGCTCTGTTGCCAGGACCCTTTTAAAGAAAGCCAAAACAACTTGTAGGTATTTGGGAATTAATTAATGCAACACTACAAAAAATAACAGCAAAGAATGAATCTTCATATGAATGACAGCAAGAAGGCATTGTATTAGAAAGGCAATTAATACATGTGTGCCTGTACATATCTACATGTATGTGCACACATTTTTGTGCATGCATGGAGTATACACAATTCATGACCTGTATACACAGATCCCATATATATGCATCTTCTAGAAACTAACTGGTGTTTGGTGTAAAAGGAAAGAAAATTCCCATCTTGCATGGCAATCTTGATAGTTCAAAAGGCAAAATTGCAGGTTTCTCTTGTGAACAAGTGACTGGAATGGAAGCAGTGGGTAATCAGGTCAAACTTTCTACAGACCAGTTCCAGGTGGGAGTGAATACATGTTTGATATGTGTAGTTCAGGAGAGGCCACAGAACTTTGTTCATTCACTTTTGGCTACTGTAAAACCACAACTCATAACCTTTAACTTCTTATAAGCAAAGTGAACCCAAATGCATTGAAGATGAAATGTGTTGCACAAAGGGAACAGGAAAATGATCCTTTAATTCAGAAGGTCAGAGTTTGTAAAAATTGTTTGGGATTTGTGAATATTCAGTACCACAACAAAAAGAGGCCTTAGTGCCTGGAAGTGGACACCCAAATTAGAAAAAAATTGAATATAGGCTCCCTTGGACTCCTATTGTAATGTGTGGAAGCGTTTCTGATACTGTCATGGGCATGACTGCCCAAATACATTAGTTACTGGTGAATCTTTTCTTATAGTTTCACAATTATTTGTGATTGGCTGTCACCTTTCTGCAATTATAAATATTCTAAGAGGAAACAATACAAATTAGAACTGTAGGTACCAGGATCTTTGTGCTGGATGTGTTTCTTTTTACTTTCTAAGTGTTCTTTTTCATATGAAAAGAGTCTTGCAGCTTTATCCTTATTCAAGTCTTTTCTTTTTGTATCTACTGGGGAGAAAACCATTAATTTTGAGGAATGGTGAGAGTAAGCCTTAAGCTGTCTTTGACATTTTAGTTTAACTTGAATAGGTTAATTTTTTTTTTTTTTTTAAGAAAACAAGTTGGTGGGAAGTGTGTTTTAACTGTGAGCGCCCGATTTCGACCATTAGCATAAGAAAAAAAGTTTTAGTGCATTTACTATTGTATTGAATGAAGAGTTCCAACAGTCAGGGGAAAGAAAGTAAAAGGCTGTAAAGAAATGATGGTCTATTCAGATTATTCAGCAGCCCAGAGCTCTGGTCATCTGCCTCTGAAATCTGTGATCGGGATATCACTTTTATCTTCCTGTGCCTTTCTCTCTCCTATTTCACATGTTCACTTTTGTCAAGGTTTATTGATCACGTTTTCTTCTCTGCAAATCTGTGGAAAATTTAATGAACCAAAAACAACTGAGAAATAAAGGGAACTTTTTATTCATTAGTCACTAGGTTGAATTTTGTTCTATAGTCACTACCCTCTTGCCTCCCATGTGCCTCATTGTGCCACTCCTGCAGCAGTTACAGTATGTACAGTGGGGATGGCCACATTATTAATTCTCTTCCAGGGAAAAGTTTGTTTAAAGTTGTGAACTCACGGCAGCCCCAGCTCTGCTCCTTGGCTTTTCTGTGCCTTCCTGACATTTGGATTCTTGACTGTGGTGCTTCTGT